GGGGCGCGGGGGGGGGGGGGGGGGGGGGGGGAGGGGGTTGACCAGATCGGCGAGATAATCGGAGGGGAACCAATTGGAAGCTTTTCTCGCTTTGAATACGACTTGCTGTGGTGGTGCCAGACCCATGTTTCTACCTGCAGAAGCAGCGCTGCGTGTGCTTCCTGCAAAAAGGGTCACTACGGGAGAGACATGCTACCGTATGAAAGATGAAAGGGTCAAGGCAACAGTGATGGATGGGTGGGCGAGGTTCTACACGCGACGGGATAGATAACGATCACAGGGGCGGGTAGCGGGTCCTGTGTAAGGGTTGGGAAGGGTCTGCACGGGTTGGGAGGGGTCTGTAAGGGATGGGAAGGGTCTGTAAGGGTTGGGGAGGGTCTGTAAGGGTTGGGAAGGATTTGTAAGGGTTGGGAAAACATTGGATTCCGTGGACAAGGGATCATGCAGTCACGACATCGAGAGAGGGAGAGAGAGAGAGAGAGAGATGCGGTCCGGGCCGTATGCCAACTCACATGCTTGATAACCTTTGGTGTTGTATTGCCGTGTGCCACTGGCCACGTCCTCACCATCACGTGTGGATGATGTTCATTGCAAAGACTGCTGAATGGGAAACATGACACACAAGCATCGTCCCTCCTTTTTACGTGCACCGCTTCTGGCAATGGTGAGTGTCGTCAGAATTGTAGATAGAGCGTTGGTGTGCAGACCATCACAGAGAAAGAGCAAACACGCATATGCAGTAGCGCTGGAAATATTAATTATCGCAGAGCTTGTTGAGAAACGGACTACGGTGTGGTGGACTCCTGTGACATTTTTTCCGTAAGCGCAGAGTCGTTTTCCACAAGAGCAACAACAGCAATCCCCTCGAAAAAAAAAAAAAAGAGAAACGGCGACCGCCCACACTTTGACGTGGATGGCCCTGAAGATACTGTTGTTGCGTAACCGCTCTATGCGAATAGGCGTATCGGTATTTGCTATTCCTGCCACATCGAGAAAGCACAGCATTAGTTTGATGTTTCGTGTTTAGCGAAACAAAAAGACATCATTCCCAACAGTGCTGCTCCGACTTCCGAATCAAATACAACGGTGTTCTTGCTGCTGGCTGTGCTCACTCAGTCAAATACGCCCAGGATATCACACACTCACACGCATAAAATACACCACCGACCTACTTGATGTCCCCTATGGAGACAACACATTAAAGAGAGAAGGGAGAGGAAACACACCACCTACCTTGCGAAAAGCTGCCGTGATCGTTGACAATCCAGTCGCCACTCATGAACATGTTCGGGATGGGGGTCTCGCAGGTGGGCATGCTGTCGTACGACCCCGGGGAGAAGTGCGTAACCCCCTGAGCAATACGCACCACGCTATAGTCCACCACCTGGCACGCAAAGAGGACGGAGAGTGGCAAACTCATGTTTTGCATGCCTTGGTAGACCATTGACCTCGCATTTCTCCAATGCCGGGACGGGGCGATATGCCGGTTTTCACCGGACCAGACTACGGTGCACAAGACTGAACCAGAAGCTGAGGGGGGGAGGTGTTGGAGAGGGACCTCAGAGAAGGAAGGCACAGACGAACGACAGATGAACGGCAACAAGGACTCGTTCTTTGCTTCGGAAGAAATCTTCACTCCTCATTTAAATACAAAAACGTTGAATAAGTGCGTCTTCACCCAGCCCACGAAACGCACGTGGCAGCAACCGTTAGCGCTATCTTCGTGCAGCGTGTGTCTGTTTGTTCCCGTACCGCTTATTGTCCCTTGCCTGCTTTCTCAGCTTCTGCCGCCGCCAATGAAGGCGAGCACTGGGAAGAGCCACAACGAAACCCCCGAGACACGCCTCGTTCAACGTTAGTCACCTTGCACCTCACCCGAGAAGAGACCGTTTCCTACCCTTCAAATCAGCGCTCACAGCACATACCTTGTGCCGTTTACTCCAACACGTGGTCACACAGAAGGGTTTCCCCCGACCCACCCCTCCTGAAGTACTGCTGTGCCTTCGATTTCTAATGCGAGAAGAGTGCAGCACTCATCGCTTCCCTCTGTGTGCACGCGAACTACATAGCGCTTTCCACCCTATCATTAAATGAGGGAGATGCCAAGACTTGCAAGCTTGTTTGGAACACGCACAACAGACGGCTTGTGTAAAATAATATTTTCGTAGTGATTAAAAAAAAAAATGAATACCCAACCGATACTTAACCTGGATGCATGTTTTATCAGGAACTACGTTCTTTAACTTCGCTGCAAGTAACCCTCGAAGGAGGGAGTCAGGCTTTGAACAAGGAAAGAGAGATGACAGCTGTGATGTAGTGTACCCCGGATGTGACGCCGCCAGGACCGATCACTCAAAGCTAGCTCGTTTGTTCCATGTAAAAGAAGATCATGTCACAAAAAAAAACAATCAACGTTTTCGGAAAGCTCTCGACAAGCAAGCGGATTCAACGCGGCCATCTTCCTCGCCACCATTGGTTGTTCTGCGGAGCAATCGAGTCTTGGTAGTCGGGTCAAGCGAGGGGGGGTGGTATCTACAGCAGTGACAGCGGGGGGGTCGCCATACCTTGGCTCGTCCCACCGCTGGCACACACGTTGCGATGTCGCCTTGCACCTGCTCGTTGTTTGCCCGGCCGAACGACATGATGGAGATCCATTCATTGCGGTCGTCATGATCGTCATGGCGTCGTTCGTTGTCGTAGGACGTCGTCGCGGAAACCGACAGGGGCAGGGAATCGGAAAGGGCATCGGTTGTTGCTGTCACTGTATTCCACTGGTCGTCATTGTTGCTGTTGTTGTTTTTTTATATCTTCCACTGTCGCCGTTGCTTTTGTTGTTTTTCTTCGAGCAAAGGATCCAGGCATGCTCTAGATCCCGCAATCTCCGGCTCCATTTTTTTTTCTTTTTCGGTTCCATTCTTGCGCCGATACCCGACCGACCGTGCGAACAACTTGCGGGTAAATAACATCGTGCCTGAATCATTCCATGGCTAAACATTCACGCGCCGCACGCCAAAACAACATGCTCCCTCTTGTGCGCTTGTGACATCATGTTTCGTTTTAGGCGATGGCATCTCACCTTGGCGACGAGGTCTTGGTCAGAACGCGGTAGCAGCTGGTCCGCGTGGTAGAAGTCGGCCTCCAGGACCGTCCCCTCGCTCTTGTCAAGGGAGTCGTGCATCGCGGTCAGGTCGAAGAAAGTCCAGCCCGTAGTCTTGTCGAACCCAAAGCAGGCGTTGCTGACGGAACCAAGAACGTTGTTGTTGTTGTTGTTGTCTTCACCATAATGAAAAAAAAAAGGTTCCGTTCTCTGTACTCAGTACCTACTTCTGCCCGTATTAGTGTCTAACACTTGACGCGGTCGATTCCCATGGTCACAGGCTAACTTACTCACAAAATGTGCAGCAACAAATATAAACACGTGTTCTGCTGGGTGCTTAAGCATGTGTGCGTGTTTAGAGGACTTGGTAGGGGTTCGCCGCGAAGCGTGTAGACTATGCCACGGCAGACCGCGATAACAGCATGCGCAATGGGACACTCCAGCACAAAACAAGCACGGTTTCTACTTCCCCGGAGACGTGGTGCGTGCGACCAAAGAAAACCGTTACGAAAGGCCAGCCCGGTCTCCAGCAGGTTTTCTCAACACACCGCACTGTAAAGATACTTCGAGCCATCCCTTCGAGTGGGTCTGATGTGATTGAAGCACACCAACCTTTTCCTATTCTGTAACAACAGTCAGAGATAATCTGAACGTCTCACCTCTGATAGGGTATCCTGACCCTCCTGTCCAGGTACAGCCGAACCGCAAGCGCGTCCACAGATCTGAAGGAACAAACACAAAACAGTCTATTCATTCACGTAATCGTAGTGTCTAACAGTTTGTTCATAAAGGTCATGGTGCTGGTGCTGGTGCTTGTGCTGGTGCTGGTGCTAGTGCTTCCTACTTAGTCAACACCCGTCCAAGCCAGCCGTGAGCTACCTTCCCCTGACCTGAGATTCATCATCTTGGAAAAGAACGGTAGCCTAGACAGCCCCCGCGCCGCCCGAACGATGCCCTTCACACCGTTGATGCCCACGGCGGACACGACCGCGTCACAAGGGAACGACTCGCCCCCGCACGTCACCGATACCACCCTCCCGGTGTCCGGGCAGACCTCGACGTCGCTCACGCGTCTTCCTTTCCCGGACGAGCCCAGAACACCGACCGACGGCAAGGGGACGGTTTCGTTTGTGAGGGCAACCGGCGGAGAGGGACCGTGGCCTACGGTGCTTCATGTAGGGGTTGATGAATATGGTCGGTACCTTGGGAGTCAGGGTGAACCGCACGGTGGAGCACAAGTACCTTGGGAGTCAGGGTGAACCGCACAATGGATCACCAGTGCCGTAAGAGTCAGGGCGAACCGAGCAGGTGTGCGGTCGGTTGTTGTAAAGCAGATAGATAGATAGATCAATTGCTGCACCACCCAAGAGGTTACCAATGCCCGAGAGGATGGCTTGAAAACACGATCTCGTCGAAGAACGTTCTCTTCCCGTGTCGGCCGTGTTTCGATAACAGCACCCGACCTCGTGGTAGCGCAGAGGTAGCAACAGTTAATTAGCCCGCATTTT